AGGCCCAATTTTGAGCCCCAAGACCTTCCCTGCTAAAAAACACAGGGTGCGAGCCCCGGGATGGGCACCTCAATGGAAAAACTCAATGTGCCCCGGAGGGGGGGAATCACCATTACGCATGTTTTATGTACTGCGAGTTCAACAGCAACATCAACGACAACACCACTACCAACAATTAACCAGCAAGCCGACGAACACATAACCAAACCCACAATACACAAACAACAATCAACAAGCAAAAACAACAAGCAACAAACAACAGACAACACATAACAATGGCACACCAAACAAGTTATTGGGAATCTCCAGGAGGGTGTGACATAACTTGTAGTTGTTATAGTAATGTGGGTTGTCTGGTTGGTTGGTCGGTGTTGTTTGTGGTGACTCTACAGGCTTACGCCACATCCGCCGACCCCTTCTGTGAGTGTTGCGAGGCCAGGAGTTTCTGGCCAGCGGCGTCTTGTGTGAGGGTGCGGTGTCGCGCGCGGGTGGTGGCATATACGTAGGGGGTCCAAATGTTTGCGTGATGCCGGTGGTCTGGGGCGTGTTTTGCGAGCGCTTTGCGTGCTGTGCACCCGGGTGCGGGGTGTCCTTTTGGGAGGTCGGCCTTTCGACCCGCAACCAAGTGGAGGAGCACTGGAAGACGAAAGGAGCAAGAGTAGTGTGTGAAAGCTGTGATCAGCGAAGCATCACAGCGAAAGATGTGGCAGATGAGTCGAAACGGGTGAAGAGGCTGTTGACGTTCGCAGCGCGCACGAAACAGTTCGCGCGGCAGCAGCACATTAGCGCCGAGCAAGATAGTGAGCACGTCGCGAGGAAGAGTAAGGTTGTATGCGCGGAGTGCATTGCAGTTGGCGTGACGGCTCGCAATACGGAAGCGTCTGGGGGTCTTTTGGGGGCCTCCTGGGGGCCTCTTGTGGGCTCCTTGGGGCGTCTTGGCGGTTTCTTGAGGGCCGTTGGCGGCCTGTTGGGGCGCTCTTGGGGCCCCCTGGGGCTCGTGGGGGCGGAAAGCTAGATTTTTGAATTGTTGGTTGCCCTCTTGGGCCCCTCTTGGTGCCGTCTTGGAGCCTTCTTGGGCCGTTTTGGGGACCTCTTGGGCCGTCTTGGGGCCATATTGGACCGTCGCGGGGCCGTCTTGGGGGCCTCTTGGGCCGTCTTGGGGCGGTTTTCGGGGCTTCTTGGGCCGTCTAGGAGCGTCGGAAAGCCCAGAAGGCGGATGTGTGAACATTGTACGTTTCACGACGGGAATACGTACATGTCTGCGTCCAGGGACCGTCTTGGGACGCATCTTGGGGGCCTCTCAGGGGCGTGTTGGGCCATCTGGAGGCCATTTCGGGTGTTTTCGATCGCTCTTGGGCCGTGTGGGACCATGTTGAGCTCTCTTGGAAGCCATTTGGAGCGCTCTTGGGGCCGTCATCGGGGCTCTCTTGGGCCGTCTTCGGCGCCGCTTGAGCCGTCTCAGCGCCTTGTTGGGCTGTCTTGGGGCCCTCTTGGAGGCTTCTTGGGCCGTCTTGGGGCGGTCTTGGGGGCCTCTTGGGCCGTCTGGGAGCGTCGGAAAGCCCGAAAGGCGAATGTGTGAAAACAACGCACGCTTTACGAAGGGAACGGGATAATTTTTGCGTCTAGAGGCCCTCTTGGGACGCATCTTGGATGCCTCTTGGGGCCTCTTGGGGGCATCTTGGGCCGTCAGGAGGCCATCTTCGGTGTCTTTGATCGCTCTTGGGCTGTCTGGGACCATATTGAGCTCTCTTGGAGGCCACTTGGGGCGCTCCTGGAGCGCTCTTGGGGCCCTTTTCGGGGCCCTGTTGGGCCGTCTTGGACGCTTGTTGGGCCGTCTTGGGGCTCTCTTGGGCTATCTTGGGACCCTCTTGGGGGTTTCTTGGGCCGTCTTGGGGCGGTCTTGGGGGCCTCTTGGGCCGTCTTGGAGCGTCGGAAAGCCCAGAAAGCCAATTTGTGAAATTTATACGTTTTACGCAGGGAATGGGGTAATTTTTGCGTCTAGGGACCCTCTTGGGACGCATCTTGGAGGCCTCTTGGGGCCTCGTGGGGACCTCTTGGGCCGTCTTGGAGGCCTCTAGGCTCGTCTTGGGGCCATCTTGGGCGTGTGGGAGCGCTCGTTTGGCGTCTCGGGGCCCTCGTGGGCCGTCTTGGAGGCCTCTTGGAGCCTTCTGGGCCCGTCTTGATCCCCTTTTGGGCCCAAAAGAGCCCCGTGACGCGCTCGTGCTGGGCCCGGGGGGGGGGGTCAAATCTCCGGTTTGGGGTCCCTGGGGGGGGATTATGGGGGGGGAACTATCTCACACGCCTAGAGACCCACAAGGGGTTGGCGGATTGGTGGTGTTGACGTTGTTGTTGTTGGTGTTGGTGTTGGTGTTGGTGTTGGTGTTGGTGTTGGTGCTGGCGCTTGTGGTGGTGTTGTTGGTGGTGTTGTCGTTGGTGATGTTGCTATTGTTGTTGGTGTTGTTGTTGAGATTGATGTTGTTGTCGCGTATGCTTGTTGTTGTTGTTGGTGTTGTTGTTGTTGTTGTTGTAATTGTTTTTGCTGGTTGTGTTGGTTGTGTTGGTTGTGTTGTTGTGTGTTGTGATTGGTGTTGCTGGTGTTTGGAGGCGGCTGCTGCTGCGGAGGAGGAGGAGCAGAAACATTAACAGTGAAGGAGAAAGCGCACAGAGGACGCGCGCGAGCATGCATGCCGCGCTGCGCCAGAGGCTCGGGTCAGGGTAAGGTCCTAGGGCCCGGGTCTCAGGGTTATGGTTAGGGTCTGAGGGCTCAGGTTTGAAGGTTTGGGTTCGGGCATTCGGATTGGGGATTTACGGTTTGGATTAGGGTACCATGGTGAGGGGGAACATGGTCTTGAGGTTAGGGTCCGAGGGTTGTGGTCTTAGGGTGACGGTTGGGGTCTTTGGGTTAGGGTTTTTGGGTTAGGATCTTACCGCTAGGGTCTGATAGTCAGGGTTCGAGTCTTCGGGTCAGGGTGCAAGTCTTAGGGTTTGGGTCTGAGGGTTGGGGTCCCAGGGTTGAGGTCTGAGCTTAGGGTTGGGGTCTTAGGGTTTGGGTATCAGGGCTAGCGTCAGGGGCAATATTATAGTCTGGAGGTTAGGGCTAGGGTCTTAAGGTCAGGGCTAGGATCTGAATGTCGGGGTCGTAGGGTTAGGGATCGGTTCGCAAGGTTCAGGTCTCAGAGTTTCCATTGTGGTCTGAGGGTTTGGGTTTGGGTCTGGGGGTTCAGGTCTCAAGGTCGGGGCCAGGGTCGTAGGGTCAGAATTCGGGTCCTGGGGGTAGGGGCAGGGCCTTCTTCGGGTTAGAGGATTGCGGCCAGTGTCTTACGGGCACAGGCAATTGGCGTTCGGGTCTTAGGCTTAGGGATCGTTTTTTTGCAATCCTTCGGGTTTGTTTGCAATCCTTCGGGTTGTTTTGCAATCCTTCGGGTTTTTGTTTGCAATCCTTCGGGTTTTTTTGCAATCCTTCGGGTTTTTTTGCAATCCTTCGGATCAGGGGCCTTAGGATCAGGGTTAGGGTCTTCGGGTTCGGGCCGCGGGGTTTGGGACCCATGATCGAGGTATCAGGGTTAGGATCTGCAGTCTTAGGGCTAGGGTATTCGGTTTAGGGTCTGGGGGGGTACGACTGGGGGCCCTATTGGTAGACTTAGTGTGTTAGAGTTCGGGGCTGGGTCTTAGGATCAGGGTATTCGTGTTCGTGGTGTAAGGTCCAGGTCTTACGGCTAGGGGAGTAGGGTTCGGGTCATCGGGTTGGGGCCTTGGGGTTCGGATTAGGGAGTAAGGTTCGCATCTTAGTATTCGGGTCTTAGGGTTAGGGGCGTCGGGCTCGGGTCTCGGATCCTAGGAACCGGGTCTTAGGGTGAGGGTATTTGTTTTAGGTTTCAGGTTTTAGGGTTGAGGTTCGAATATGTTGGTTCGGGTCAATGGTTAGGTATAGAGTATGAGTGTTAGGACCAGGAACTTAGAGTCATGGTCGTAGGGTTATGATTTTAAGGTAAGGGTCTTTGGATTAGGCAATAAGGGCAGGGCCCTTGGGTCAGGGTCTTAGGGTTAGGTTTCGGGTCTTCGTTTTCAGGTTCGGTTCTTAAGGTTCGGCGTAAGGTCCTTGGGTCAGGGCATGTGGGTTTGGATCTTCGTTTGAGGTTAGGGTTTTAGGGATTGGGTCCACTTCTTCGGGTGAGTGTCCTAAGGTTATGGTTTGGATCTTAGGGTCAGGGTTTTAGAGACCATGTTCGGGTCTCAGGGTAAAGGTCGATGGTCTCAGGGTTAGGGCTGGGGCCCTAGGGTTACGGACTTAGGGGTAGGGTCGTAGGATTCGGGTCTTTTGGTTAAGGTCTTCGGCTGAGGGTCAGAGCCGTGGGATTATGTCTTATGATTGGGGACTGAGAGTGATGGCCTCAGCCTAGGTTCGTCGGGTAAGGATTCGGGTCTTAGTGGTTGGGGTCGGGTCCCCGAGTTATGGTGTTAGGGTTACGGTTAGGGCCGCAAGGCGAGGGTTGAGGGCTTAGATCTAAGGCATCAGGATTCGGGTTTCAGGGTCAGGGTCAATATCTTTGGGTTCAGGTCGTGGGGTTAAGGTCCTAGGGCCGGATATTAGAATTGCAGAAGGTGCGGGCTGCGGTCGCTCGCGTGCAGTTTGGGCGGCGTCTTGCCCGATTGGGAAAAATACCAAGACCGCCCAGGCATACATCGGGTCTGCTTCGGGAGGAGGGGGAGGAGGAGGAGGACCCGCGACTCAAATGCCTCCGCCGAAGAACACGAGGGGGGAGCCACGACTGACCTGTGGAAAACACAGCTATCCCGAAGCCGCGTGGGCGTCACCGCTCGGGGGACTCCCAGTTCGCGGATGACACTTGGCCTCAAGGTCCCTTGGGGCCGTGAGGAAGAGGTGGGAGGAGGAGGAGGAGGAGGAGGAGGAAGAGGAGGAGGGTTAGCCCTGCTCCCTGTGCAAGTCCCCCCCATGTCCTCGCCCTCCTCCGCCCTCCGTGCGCGCCCAGCCGCGCCAGGCTCCGGCGACGGGCGCGTGGTGCGCGCGGCGTCGGCGCGGGGCATGCACGCCGCGGGCTCGGGGGGGGCGGCCTCGTGCGCGGGCGGGGCCTTTGCCCGGCCGCCTGGCTCAGCGGCGAGCGAAGGGGGGGAAGGCGAGAAGGAGAAGGCCGCCTTCTCAGAAGGCGACGGGGCTGCTCGGCAACCTTCCGGCCGTCTGAGAATAGTTGTGGTGTCTTCTGGGAAGGCTGAGAACATGTCTCAGAAGGCTGGGGGACATCCAAGCCTTCTGATAAAGCCTTCTCCTTCTCGCTTGGCCCCCCTCGCTCTCCGCCGAAGCCTGGCGACGAGGGCGAGCTGGTAGAGACGGGGGCCAATGCATCGGGAAGGAGGTAGACTAAAGAGTTGACTGAACCCAGAATTGATTTGTTCGTCGAAGATACCAGGGACAATGTCTAATAATCGTAGCTGTACGAACATTATACGCATTGCTCGTAGATTCGACGAAGATGTCACTACTGGGGGTGAATTAAGTTATGAAGTTGATATTCTAATCGACATGCAGGTGTGGGTCAGCCAGGGCGCCGCATCTTGCAGGATTCTGCGGAGCCAGGGTTGCAATGACCCGGACTACAGTTGAAACCGATAGTAAGGATGGGCAACTTTCCCAAGAGTTATTTTGCATCCTCGCCTCCTCGGTCCATTTTGACTACTTTCGATAGCCCGCCGAGCTCGAAAAAGCTTCAACACTGGCGTTCAAGGGGCGTGCATCCTTATCGCGCATCATTACTATCAGTTTTGACTGTAGCGTGCAGGATCTTGCAGGATCCTGTAAAGCCTGACTGACCCCGGTTCGCGGTGGCCCGGGTCAGCAGAAGCCCGACGAGGGTATCGACCACGGCGGCGGCCAGCGTCTTCCTAGCCAGGTGGTGTCGTCGTGGGTT